CACAGGTAAACATCTTTCTGATATTCTCTGCTTTCAGCCAACATCCATCAGACATCAGCAATGATATCTCTCGTTCCACGGCCTCATCTGAATCTACCTTGAAAGTCTGGAAGTTCTCTGTCAATGTATGCTTACAGCTGTCTCTGTATTACCTTTAGTAAAACTTAACTTGCATGGGATATAAAAGAGATTGTCCAATGATTTCCACATTCCGTTGGGTCACCACTCTTTGGAATGGGCATCAATATGGGTCTCTTCCAATCAATCGACCAGATAGTTGTCTTCCAAATTTCTTGGCAGAGATGAGTAAGTGCCTCCTGTGCCACCTCACTTTCTTGAAAGATTTCAATTTTTATTGCATCAATTCCTGGTGCCTTGTTCTTTGCCAATTCCTTCAATGTACCTTGGACTTCCTCCGTCAGTATCATTGGCTATAAAAATTTTTATCAGTCTTTAGAGAAGGGATTTTTGTTATTTTTAAATACCCTCCAGTCGGCTTCTACCTTGCAGTTCAAACGGACTTTGCAGAGCAGCGCATTAATCACAGAGTTTAACTCCCCAGCTGCTTCTCGAAACCCTATACAGGGTAGCTTTGAGTCAGAACTGACTTAACGGCATTCGAGAACAGAGAAGGAATTATGTGTGTTCTAATTTTTTCTTTGTGTGTGTGTGGTTGTGCGCGCGTGCTTTTGCGCATTTTTCTTTTTACTTTTCTACAGTAAACACATTTTATCACCAGAAAAATGTTTTGTTCCAGTTATTTCCATTTCTGATTAATTGCTTATCTGACAGAATGATTTCACACTGAAATATTAATATTTATTTTCACAAAGAAATAAAATAATATCTTCAACCACGCCTTAAAATGGGTTTAGATACACTGTATTCTGTATATAAACATTTTATTTTTGTATCCTTATTCTTAAAGTAACTTTGTGTAAAGATGTAGGAAGTATCCTGAGAACAACCTGACAATTCTGGTTGTTTCGGAATTTTTTTATACAATGTTTTAGAGTCCCTGGGTGGCCCAAACAGTTAAGTGCTACACTGCCAATTGGAGCGTTGGGTATTGGACCCACCCAGAGGCGCCTCTGAAGACAGACTTAGCCCTCTCCTTCTGCAAGATCACACCCTTGAAAATCCTTTGGGGCAATTCTAATCTGACACACATGGGGACCCCTTGACTGGGAATCCACTCTATGCTAAGTAACAACATACATTTTATATCACTTAAATTGTAATAACATCCAACGTATTGTGCCTACATTTTCACGCAGTATGGCAACATTAGGCACTGTATAAAATGTATTTAATTAGGTGCAGTTAATCAAGATTGTAATTACAAAAACCGCTTTAAATAAAGTCCAAGGGCGCCCAGCGCCTTCATCCCCGCCCATCTCCGTAGGCCGCGCCCCCTCCACTGTCGGCCCCGCCTGCCGTGAGGGCTCATGGGAAGAGGCGGAGAACAATATGGCGGATGGCGAGGAACCGTAAGTACTGAGCTTCTGAGGGAGCGCCGGGTCGAGCAGGGTTGTGAGAGAGCTCGGCGGTGGGCGGCAGTTGCCGCCACCCGGGGTCCCCTCCCCTCCGCCTGCCCTGTCCCCTCGCCCCCATCCCTTCGCGGCGCCCAGTTTGTAGCGTGATGCTGACCCTTCTTTTATTCTCTCTTTCTTTTAGGGAGAAGAAAAGAAGGAGAATAGAGGAGCTGCTGGCTGAGAAGTTAGTGCTGCGGGGAGGCCGGGGCCCTCTTTGGGGACCCCCGCCTCCCTCCCACCCCAGGCCTAGGGGACCAGCCGCAGCGGACCCGGGGTGCTGGGAGGGGGGCTCCCGGAGCGCAGGCCGCGTGGCCTCTACCCCTGACCCCGGTCCCGCAGCCCCGGGCGCCCGGCGGGCCGCTCCCGGTTTCTGCAGCAGGTTCTGCAAGGGCCGCGGGGGTGATTGACCTAGAGGTCTGGTGCCAGGAACCCCCCTGCACCCCTCTTTCCTTCCATCCCAAATTGTCACGAGCCGTGACCCTGTGTAAAGGGAATGCGATGGGCACTAAGATGTTTGGGACCTTTGTTTACGGATCGCAAAGTTTTGATGGGAATTGTGTGTATCAGACACATCAACTAGATGGGCCAAACAGTTGGCTGTTAAAGAAGGGTGTTAACCCCGCGCAGCTATTTTCCCCTAAGATTGCACGCCCTACATCTTATCTGATGCTGAGTTTTGTGCAGGTGCAACCGATTTAAATAAAGTGTTTTCCAACGTAGCCAACGCCACATAATTCTACTGCCCTCCCTCCCTGGGAAGCAGGTGTGGTGAATTCCATTTGTGTCAATTTCCACTAGCAGTGCTGTAGAGACTTGAAGTGTGGCCCTCAGAAAGTTGAAATTCAATTGCAAGAGGACTTGAAAGATTAGCCTAATGTCATATTGCTTCCCGCCTTTCATTTTCCTTCCGGTTTTGCTCAAATGACAGTTGAAATTTGACTGCTTACTGTATGCACAATACCGTGTACTTAGTAGGTCCCCTAGTTGTATTCAATCAGTCCTCACGATGACGTTTACGAAATTGCTACAAACAATCATCTGCCGATGAAATTTATAGATATTAAAAAAACTTGGCAAGGTCAGCGTGCGATTATTTGTAGAGCCAAGCCCAAAGTCATTATCAAAACCCGTGGTGTCTGTTACTAGGCAAAGATACTACTAAATATTTGAAGGTGGGAGTTGTATGAAAGTTGAAAATTAGGAAGTAAAGTCAAACATAAATCTTACACCTGGTTAAAAAAAAAAAGCTCATGTGTTTTACTAAAAGCAGAGGCCTGCCTTAGTTGTGTATGCTAAAAGGTTTTCAAGATGATGAAGCGTAGCAGTTGTAACTTTGTGTTTTTTACTGGTAACATAAACAATGTCACAATACTAGCAGATATACTTTTAGAAAATGTTGTTGTTAAGTGCTGTCGAGTTGATTCTGACTCATAACGACCCTGGTGAGTTTGAACTTGTAAGCTTTCGGTTCAAAACTACCTTGCGCTCCAGGGTTACCCTATAGCGCCACACCAGGACTCCTGTTTTTGAAAATGGAGACCTGTATTTCTCTCTGAGGAAAATGTGTGAAAGTTTCTGTCATTAAAACTCTTTAAATCCCACCTTTGAAATTTGGAAAGGGCTCAGATTTGAAGCATCTCAGTTTTGAAAGTGTAGCTTTTTTTCTTCTTCTTCTTTGTAACAGCTATTTGGAGTGTCAAGTCTGTTAAAGAAACAGATTTGGGAAGCCTGTAATCTTTTGTAAGTACCCCATGTGGAGAAGGCCAGTTCTCCCTAGTCAACCAGAATCCCAAGTTTGTTCTTGAGTTGCTTTAGGAACATGTAGACTGATTTAGTTCACCGAACATGGAATCAAGTAGAAACCGACATGTAACTCTTAACTTTCAATAACTGCATAGACATAGATAGCCACAGTGAATAGTTATTTTTGATCTGAGCAGGTCTGGTGTGGTTACCTTTTCGTTTGGGAAAACCGTATTAGCTATAGGTGTGGCTCTTTCCTACTGATCTTTGCAGCTGAATTTACTGTGTTCTGTGCAGAATGGCTGTTGATGGTGGGTGTGGGGACACTGGAGACTGGGAAGGTCGCTGGAACCATGTAAAGAAGTTCCTCGAGCGATCTGGACCCTTCACACACCCTGATTTCGAACCGAGCACTGAAGTGAGAAATGTTTATTTTAAATAACTCCTCTAATAGTTTTATGTTTCACAAATAATAAAATGCTTCCTTTTTAATTTGCTCATCTTATAAACATACTAATAAAATTGTATGGAGACATTAAGTTACTTGAAATACTAAGTTAAACATTTGCAACTAATTTTGGTTGAGTGACTAATACTTGAGTTTTTATTCTTAAATGTCTCATGTAATTGAAGTAGACAGCTAATTTAAATTTTAAGTTATACTTCATTTAAAATTTCAGTTTAAATAACTGCTGATATACTCCCCCTTTTTAGTCCTGCTTTGAGAAATTAATTTAGACAGAAACATAGATGTCCTTGTTTGACTCTTGAATTTAGTTGAAATCTTTATTTAACATTGAAGATAATTGCATGTTAACAATTATGTGAATACTGTGTAGTAGAGGCATAGAATTTTGGAGTTGATAGTATCTGGCAAAGCAGATACTCAGTTCCATACATCTTTTTTTGTTTGTTTGTTATAAATTCTACCTTATAAAAGTATTCCTTGTAGTAATTTTAAAACAAATATTGTACCACTTTTCATAGTGAAAGTACAAGATCTTAGATTTAGTTCCGTATCTCATTTGAATGCTTTTTCTCTCCTTTAATACTGTTATTCGGTGTATACTCAAGTAGTATTGGTTCTGCCATTCTTTGGACAATCCACTGTATTTCCTTATGCTTCTATAAATATTTTTGCCTGATAATTTAAGATAGCAACTTCTGTTAAATTATTGTTTCAGGTTGCATTTCAATGGATACACAATTTTATTAAGAGTTTTATTTTTTGAAGCAATTTTTATTAAACATTTTTTTTTAATTGTGAACTGGATGAATATTTATAGAGCAAAATAGGTTTCCATTCAACAATTCATAAACATTTTGTTTCCTATCATTGATTGCAGTTCCTACAATGTAGTATTACTCATCCTACTTCTGCTCTGTGTTTCCGGTTCCATTCTTCCTTATTTTGAACCCTTTCTGCCTTCTGAACTTTGTCCTTGGGCAAATGCCGCCCTGTGGTCTTCAATGGTTGATTGATCTAAGGAGGGCATGCTTTCCTAGTGTTATTTTTTTCCCTTATCAACTTGTCTATTGTTTGACAATTGAGCCACAGAGGTGAGTTCACCTCTGGGCCTGATGAGTGACCAAGGGCCGAAGTCTCAGGAGTTCCCCGAGTGGTTTTTTACTATAAGTGGTTTTGAGTTTTGTTCCACAGCGTTCTCCTCTGAGGACCATTTAGTGTGATGATTTTCACAGGGGTTAGTAATGGTAGCCAGGTACCATCTAATTCTTCCGGTCTTAGACTCATGAAAGCTGGGGCTCACGTGATCCTTTTATGCTTTGGACTAATTGTTCCCATCCATCTTTGATTTTCTTTAATCTTCTTTGCTCCAGACGGGGAAAAACCTGTGGTTTTGACTTACATGACTCCTCACAAGTTTTTAAGATCCAAGTTGCTACTCATTAAAGTAGGATATAGAACATTTTTTGAGACAACTTCAGTAAATTAGTGGAAAAATTGAATTAAAAATTTTTTTGCCACTAACCTTTTGAAGCCCCCATATGTTTGTGAACTGTTTTGTGCCAGTTGGCCTTGCTGTCCCCTGAGACTCTGGCCCTAAGAGTGTTTTGTTGTTGTTGTTAAATGCAGTCGAGTCGGATCTGCCCATGGCGACCCTATACAGGGTTTCCAAGGAGCCACTGGTGAGCTTGAACCACAGACATTGCAGTTCAACCGGCTTTGCACTCTGGTGCTTTAACCCACAGCGCCACACCAGGACGCCTTTAGTTAGGCCTAAAACTATGTTTCCTAAGTATTTAGTTAGGCCTAAAAACTGTTTGCTAAGATTTTTCTATTTTTTTTCTTTCCATCATCTCATGTCTTATAAGCTTCACTCACTGTTTAAAAGCAGCTCCTACTGTTTCTCCTTTCCTTTTTTTAACTGGATGTGCTTGGTGTCTTTTTTTTTAAGATTTAAAAATGATTCTTTGTTTAGGAAATCAATTAAATAACTGGATTTGATGCTTTTCACCCTGCATCAAATAAATCAAAGAAAAAAACTCTGAAATTTGGGGTAGTTTTTCTTGCTAGAGAACATAGAAACAGCCTCTTAATATAGTATAATAAAAGTCAGTTCAAAACATTAAGATTGAAACTCTGGAGTCATTAGGGTTTCAGCGTCTTTGGGTCTTCCTAGTTCATAGATGTAAATACTGTATTTATTAAACATACAGTCTTCATTTTATCCTCAATTGTGTTTTTGATGAAAATGTTAGACACTGTTTTATGGCTGTTGCTTTGTTACTGGTGCTCATGGCTGCTGTTACCCCGATTTTAATATGCCTTTTCATTCTTTACAGTCTCTTCAGTTTTTGTTAGATACATGTAAAGTTCTAGTCATTGGAGCTGGCGGCTTAGGATGTGAGCTCCTGAAAAATCTGGTAATATAACTAAATCTACATATACAGTTTTTTTTTTTTCTGTTAATGAAACCTTTTTTCTAAGAAATTTCTTTATTGTGTTTAATTGTTAACCTTTTCTCCTAAGCAGGTCTAATTTCAGAAAGTAATGAAAATGATGTAACTTTGAAACTTTGTGAACCTAAAACTTATCAACTATAATATCATTGATAGAATTTGTTACTTCAATTTTTTTCTCTGCCTTTTTACCAAAGTTTGTCCTGTTTGCAAAGTGCTCATTCATTTTATCAAAGTTAAATAAGAAAAGTGGTCTTTAACATTTTAATGTGTAGTTTTCAAAAATTTATGACTACTTTAGTTTCACAAAGTAACCCAGGTAGGGAGGGAGGGCAGACACTGCAGAATTGGTCAGTAATTTGCCCAAGTTTTTCTGGATCATAGTGATATCCCTGTAATGTAATCCATGTCCTCAGTTCCAGTGTCCTTCTCTGTATTATACCACTGTCCAGTATACATGACGTAATGGGACAGTCATTTTGATGATGATATCATAGTAGATTCCCATAAGGTTGGGGAGAGCTAAACTTGATTTCGTTCTCTGTCTCCTCTCTTACCTCCGTTCCATTCTCTTCTGGATTTATATTAATAAATACCGTTTTAAGACAGTATTTTTTAGTAATGCTGATTCCATAGTTTGAAACACTTTAGAAATCCATAATTTGTGACTTGATTTATTGGTTTCATCCTGGTAACTGCAGAATAGAAATTAGCTGGGAAAGAAAATTGATTTACAGCTCTGTTTGTGTGCCAGACTTCTCTATGGTGTATAAAAAAGTGGAAAAGAAGTTGCTCACAGAGCCAAATGAAGGATCTAAAAGTTGTCCAAGGGCCTAGGGTGTAAACACAAATGCAGCCACATTAATTTTGTTAGGAAACTCAAACATCATTCATAGTGAAACTGCAAAAAGTAAGTAAGTAGCTTCTCTGTGCTTAGTGTTTTACTGGATTCTGTGAAGATAGGAGGTCGTTGTATTTATTGCCCTTAAGTAATATGAAGGTTTATTGGGGAGATAAGTCTCACACAAAATATATATGTATGATACATTCTGATGATGTGTGAAAATGACAGTGCCTTATCAGACTTAGGGACTTCTGCAGTTGGAAGCTGGAGAGTCCTGGAGGGAAATGTTTATGGAGGATGGACAGTGGTTCTTGATAGGTTCTGTGTATGCGTACATGACTGATGTGGAACCTCTCCACTTTGAAGTAATTATTTGTAAATGTGATATTCTTGATAGGTTCTG